TAAGTGTTACCTTCTAATTAAAATTGAAATTTTATTTAAATAACCAACACGGTAAAAGTTAATATTAAAGGATGATATTAATCTTAAAGATAAGTCTCTAATTTTAATTGAAGAAAATTACCAAAAATATTTAAAATACTGCATATAAGTTTTATTATGAACAATGGAATAACTCTAAAATATTTGTTATGAAACTCTCAAATCCTAACTTCATGTAAGAATTTTCATAATTACAACCTCTTTGAACTTGTTTTAAGAGTAAGTTTTATCTATCCTCTCTAAATAACACCTACTGTTTTATTTGAATTCCAATGCATAACATATTTTTCGATTTATGTATAAGGATTATAACGAAGAACTAAAAAAGAATTACGTGTAAGATCAAAATTACAAATGTCAAAATACGGAATATCACTGTTATATGAACATTAAAAGTACCGTTGATAAACTTGTTTAGGAATAACACAAAAATGTTCAGGACTTACTTATAAACTTTTGTTTTAACAAAAATCAAATCGAAAAACGAGTATAGGACTAAAATAGTATTTAAACCAAAAAAGGAAGCGAAGCTGAAAAACAATATAAAAAAAGCTACTGCGATTTATGGTTTCCATAGTGCATGTTATGTATTTGTACGTTGATTCACACATTTGCTTGATCATTTCAGAGAAACTTCCAGTGAGAGCTCAGTATAGACGGTACCCAGCTATGAATTGTTCGAGGTACTTTTGATTGGTGACGCGTCTTAACTATATATCGGATATATTAGAATCTTTTATCAGAATAAATGCTAAAGGCAGCTAGCACAGAACATCTTTTTCCAAGCTCAAGGGTGGGAAAATTTGTGGTGTAAAATGACACAAAACTGTGATAAGAAACAAAGTCGATGGTGAGTGAGGCATTGCCATTTCAAGTAATTTAGCACATGGGGTGTTACATAGTGATAATTCCCCAGTGTTAAATGTGAATTTCCCCACACACAAGTTGTGTACTTTGCACATGCTGTTTTGGAAAAACACATAAGCAATAGTTAAACGTGCTGAAAATGTTTGCCATTAGATCCCTTTGTGTAATGGGTAGCCATTGGATTTGACAAATCGTGGAATAGATATTGCAATAATGAACAATGGATCATCACCAACATGTGCCGAAACTTGTTGAGTGCACGAGTAGGATATGTCAAGTGTTATCTAAAGGAAAGGAAGAAGATAACTTTCTGGCTATTATCTATGTCTAACCGAAATTGATATCGGATATGGCAAATTGTTTTGCGTGACCTGTGAATGAATCAATGTCACTTTGATAAAATGGTACTTTGGCAATAACTATAGGGACCATATTGGGTCAGCCTCAATGGTGCAAACTAACACACAACACAAAAGTGAAAAAGAAGTGGAAAGAAAGTATGGTAGCATCCAAAACTGCGTGCCCAATTGGATCAATCTGAAAGAGTAACACAAAATTAAAACAAGTCCAAATGAAAATAGATTAAAAACGTGTAAATAGGATGAGCATAGGAGAAGTACGAGAGAAGGGTTAGATATATAGCCAGATGCTGCTTGAGTCGTAGTGACTAGTATGCTTAGTCTTTTTCATTGTTGGTATAAATATATAAGCTAGGTATTTCTCCTTCTTTTGATAAAGCCATTTCTTTTCCTTTTTTGAGAAAATGTTTTATTTTTTAAATTTTCTTTTACTGCTAGCTGCCAAATGCCTTTCTCTCTGTTGATGAACTTAATAGCACGTGAAAATTGTGCATGAGAAACTATGCAATAATTCTCTTAATACTTATATTTTTTGTTTCTAGCTAGAGAAATAGTTTATAAAGGCATGCAAAAGTTTGTGAGGACGATAGTTATATTGAAAGCATCACTTCAAATCTATGATGTAGACATTTGTTTCTGAAATTAATCCTCCAATTCCTCCTTTATATATCACCCTATTACTACCAAATTAATTTTAATTTTAACTACTTTTATATATCATTACATTAATCGGACAAAGATTAAAAAATGAATTTATTCTTTTATCTTTCATAAAAATGTGATGATATATTACAAGTTTTTGAGGAATAAATTTCTTTGATAACAAATATTTTAGAAAATTATTGTGGTGAAAGTGCGAATTTATATTTGCTGATAAATTTTTTTAATTAAGTATAAAGTTAGTAATGACTAATATATGCAAACAATCATACATATTAAGTATAAACTCCAACTACATTACAAAAAGTTATAAACTTGGCTAGTTAATATTGTGAGGAAAAATCCTTTGTGTGCAACTCACGCTTTATTAAGTGCTACACATGCATACTTTCCACGAGTATTACTTTATATTTTGATCTACGGATATTTTAGGGATGGCCATTATAATTTTAGTTTCTAAAAAAATTTGAAGAAAGTATGGTTAATTAAAAGTATGTTCTATCGGTTATTTTAGCTTTTATGTTAGCATTAAGTATTTAATATAACAGACTCTGTGTGTGGATCTGGGTTAATATCTCCATTATATTTTTTTTATTGATTATGGTTTATATAAAGATATTTGTTAAAAAAAATCTCTTTTTTATTTTGTCTAAAGACTTATTGCAATAAAAATATATCCTAAAAAGTCCATTTCCTGGCTTTATTTTATCTATAGACTGGTTGCAATAAAATAAAATACTCTTAAAATATTCCATGTCCTGGTTGAATTGATGAAGAAAAAAACTTTGTAAACATTCAAGAGTGTTTTACTCGGAATAAAATCACAAAATAAAATAAAAAACACCTGTAACAATATTAAAATTCTCAATTCGTTTTTAGTGAAAGAGTCTTTACCATACCAACGTGAGAGAAGTAAAATTTGATAATTAACTTTCATTATAAATGATTAATATATGTCATATAATTTTTTAAAATTGATCATGTGATTTTTCAAATTTTATAATCGATCGTTGATGATTTTACTCTCTAAATTTATGTCACTTATTATATATATATAAACAGATTAATAGATATGCGTATCTAAGACAGAAAAAGGTGTCTATGTTTTCAATTCTAGTTTTATCATATTTAGTTGATAATTTCTGTTATGTTTCACACCATTTTAAAATTTTTTTATTCTGATAAATTTTGTATGTGTGGCGGTTCTTATCATCATATAATATTTTTATAGATCAGTATATATTTTGAATGATATTGTGGCAATAATTTCTATAGAACTTATCCCAAAATAGTTATTTATTAATTTTTCTATTAGGTTTTATTAGTTTATATAATTTTATTTATTAAGGCATTGATTCATATATTTTACTCGTCTGAGGGACCAATATTTTTAACAAATAAAATATGATTAAAATCAATCTGTCGTGAGTGAATAAGTTCACAATATAATGGGTATAAGTTATGGAGACAAAAAGTAAAATAAGTGAATACACAGTCATCATGTTAAGAAATAAAATTCATACTATAAAAGAAAATCATAAATTAATTGTATATAAATTTTCTTAGACCAACAGTAATTATTAAAAAAAAAAATATTTACATCATTTTGAAAAAAATTCAGCATTCCTAAGAGTCTTACCAAAAGCATCTCTCGTGATTTTATTGATCAAATCAAGAAATTTTGATTCAAATTATTTGTAGGAACAGTACCAGAATCTAACAAAATAAGAATATATCTACAAAAATAATTATTGCAGTACACTTGAGTTTATTTAATACTCGCTTCCTCCATTTTAAATTATTAATTAATTTTTAAACTCCCTTGTATATTTATTAGTACTCCAAAAGATGTAACTATTTCACAATTATACTCTGTATAGCTTAAAACCAAGTGCAACCACCTTTAACAGTTGTTGCTCTTCCCCAATGCAATACAAGTCCCTTGACTCTTCCTTTTATGGCTCCCTCTACCAAATTTAAGAGCAATGAAACCACATAATGTTGTGATTTTGGAGCAGAGTAAACCAAGACTGAGTCCATTGAATAAAATTGTATTTTTAGGTGATAACAATTGAATAATATTGTATTAATCTTATGAAATGCTCATCATCACGTGCTCATGTCTAATTGGGCCATTCCTCCACTCCTCAACCCTCAACTAGACGCGCTTACTTGTTCCCAATCTTGCTACCCACAATAGCTTCAAACTGCAATATAAAATTATCTGATAACGTAGAATTGAACATTATTTAACTCCAAAACGTGTAACACCACAGCTAAGTCTCTTCCCTTAAATCTAATTCTTCTTATAAACCATGCCATTAATAGGGCACCACTTTTTGCTTTAATTTCTTCACGTATTTCACTTTCTTTGACAGTTATGAAATGGGACCTTGCATTGCATTATTAAGCAACAAAGGGAGGACATCATGGTACGACACACGTAAAAAATAAAATAATTAAATCAGATAAACCCAAAAATTAAAACGGACCAGTGTAACGGGACGAGTTTAGTGTCAACATCAAACCTAGCTCCATGCCGAAACAGTTAGCTTGTGGGCCTTCTAAATATGCATCCAAATTTCTCATGTTCGTATTATTCTTTGACGCCCCCCAAACGCACAATATATAAATAAATAAATAAATAAATAAAGGGAACACATAATTATCCTTATTATTCTTAATAAAAAATCCATAACCATCATTATTAGAAACTTTACCACAAATTGACCCCTCTCACTCTCACTCTCACTCTCACACACTCATATCCAAATCAAAACAATGATTAATTATTCCAAAACCTTTTCGTAACCAAACCGCACCTGTTACGAGTCTCAGATCCCGAGCACATTAAAACCCTTCCTACGTGGCAGCATGCTATTAGCTGTAACAAATCAACGGTTAAGATCTCCAAGGGGAGGAGACATGGTAGTTCGATCGTAGGGCAGGGAAGGAGCGAGAAAACCTCAGTGGAAACGACTTCGTACGCTGCTCCCGAGGTGAGTGTCCGTGGAACAGTATGAGTGAAGAGAGAGAGATATAAACACGCAGCGCGCACCATTCTCCACTGTCCAAGGAAATCACGCACCTGCAAAGCTAACGCCTCTCTCTCTCTCTCTCTCTCTCTCTCTCTCTCTCTCTTGTGCTTTGGTTATTTCGTTAGTGAATGCAGAGCTGAGTTTGGGGTTCGGGTTAGGATTCGGGTTACCCGATTGTGATTTGATGGATCCGGGTGCGATGATGAATGAAGGTTCCTTTGCGAATGATGGGAGTGGCAATACGGTGCCGTATAGCTTAGCGGAGATCTGGCAGTTTCCTCAGGCTATGAATGGCGGCGGAGGATTGGGACTCAGGAGGCCACAGTTCGGACACGCGTTGGGGCAGTTTGGGGATTTCACCACCGGTCCAAACCGGGACGTTTCGGCTACTGGACCCACCGGGGCTGACCAGAGAGCGGCTAACCATGGGCCTGGGCCTGGGCCTGGAGCCAGTAGTAGAAAGAGGCGTGACTCGGAGGATGATTCTGCAAAGGGCGTGTCCACCAGCAATGGCGGTGGCAATGCCGTGGTACACTATATTCGCTTATATCTCGTGTGCATTCGATTAATATCTGGAACTCATTTGAAAAATATATTAATTTCAAAAACACTATCACTGTTTGTGTAGGTAGAATTAATCCTATATCAAGTTACGTTTATGGATTTCTACTATAGAAAATGCTTAACTTAAGCCTTGAGAATCGAGTTTAAGCAATTACCAAATGCAGAATTTTATTTAAAAAAGTATTTATTATTTTTCTGTATGTTTAATGTAATAAATATATTTTTCACAAAATTATCCTATTATAACTAAAGGAAATTGTTGTTATTAACCTTTTGCAGCCTTTGAAATAGTTTTGAGCAGGTTAAAATAGTAAAGTTAATTAAAAAATATAACAATATAATAAATGTCTTAATAAAAATATACTATTTATGCTTATCTCAACCAAGTTGTTTTAAGGGCTTACAAAATTTTAAGCTACAAATGTTTATTTATTTGCGGTTATTTGAATGGATGGTGTGATTAACTGAAAGAGTTGTTTGGATTTTGGGCAGAATGAGGGTGATGGAAAACGGGTTAAAGCAACAGGGAACAGGAATGAGGGTGGGGATGGTAAAGTGGAAGGAGAAGCCAGTTCAGGAAAGCCTGCGGAGCAAAGCACTAAGCCACCTCCTGAACCTCCTAAACAAGATTACATTCACGTCCGAGCCAGAAGGGGTCAAGCTACTGATAGCCACAGTCTTGCAGAACGAGTAATTTTGTTGTCATTGTTTTATCTGTGTTCTTTTTTCCCTGTCTAATTGTTAATGTCTATTTCTTACTGTCCTTGAGTCGAGAGTCTGGTGCCTCACCTCACCTATGGAGCATAATTATCTTTTTCACTAGACAAAAATCTTTATAATGAGAATATGATAATTTGATTTCATTTAGCAATTTTATGTCCTCTTTTTTTCTAAATTGAATTTGTGGAGCTGTTGCAATTTGCAATTAAGGTTGTTGACTATGTTTTCTAATTGGAATGTTGGCGGACACTGGACAGGCTAGAAGGGAAAAGATTAGTGAGAGAATGAAAATTCTTCAGGATTTGGTCCCTGGTTGTAATAAGGTATTGTTTTACTACCTGTTTAGTTTTGTTCCTGCTCTCATATGAACACAACTAGAAAATAAAGATAAAAGAAGGGAACAGAGGGGAAAAATGTTACTTAGTGCATGTTTGGAAATGATTATTAAGAGAAATAATCGCTAATTTTTTGAAAGCTTCCTCTGGAAGTTGGAAAAGTAAGTGATTATTTCTTTAAAATAAGCTGCATGAAAAACATACGTAGGTGTAATTATTATCCTTGTTTTAAAGGAAATTGTTAATAGAAATACTTTCTTTTATTCAGGTTATTGGGAAAGCATTGGTCCTTGATGAGATAATTAACTATATCCAATCTCTTCAGCGCCAAGTTGAGGTATCGATACCTTTTCTGATTTTGGTATTTCTGCATAATTATAATTCCTCATAAATTTATGTGTTGAGAATGATTTTGGGCACTGTAATGTTACTGGATGTCACAGTTTTTATCAATGAAGCTTGAAGCGGTGAATTCAAGACTGAACTCTGGCCTTGAAGCATTTGCTTCTAAAGATGTAAGTCTTAAAACCTTGGTTTTCATATTGAATCTCTAATTAAGTTGAAATCTGGTTTTTATCTCCTTTATGTTGAATCCTTCCTTTTGATAAGGCATGAATATAATTCTTCCAGTGGTTAATGTTTCAATTCATGGATGTCTGTTATTGTTTTATTTGCAAATTTATTTATCATCAATGGATTCTCCAGTTGCTTAATTTTTCAAGCGAATTAAATGCCTCCTGGTGCTTTTTGAGAGCTAATTATTTCAGTAGAACGGGAAGGAATTTATTTGGTTGTAAGGAATTTTCCTGTTGATAAAGGTTAAGAATTAGGAAGTGTGTCAGAATAACACTGAAATCAAAATGAATGGTGGAGTTCAGGTTTAGAACTATGTTGAAAAGTCTTGAGTCTAACAGGAAATATACTTCTTTTGTTTTGTGACCTTTCAGTTTGGTCAGCAAACATTTGATCCAGCTATAACGTTCGGTACGCAAGTGCCAAGAGAGTATAGCAGAGGTTCTTCACCAGAGTGGTTACATATGCAGGTAGGAGGTGGTTTTGAAAGAACAACGTAGTCTATGATATCCCTTTACCTGGTAATAAATACATAAACAGGCGATATCCCATTCTTCAGTGGCTTCCAGAAGACACAAGTGATATACACTGGGAATTGAATCCAATGGACACTTCATTCCCATTTTCTACACGAGGCATGGAGCTGTTACTGTTATTCACAGGACTGCTTCAGTTTCTATTTAAGCATCTCCATATGTTGGTGTGTTGGAAAATGAATTCATTACTCAATATGTAGTATAGTGGACTTTTAGGCTTTGTATTCTGGTGATCAACATAACCCTTTAAAAGATCATTTTTCCTGTAAAATAATGCTGCTTGTCCTGAATACATAATGCTTACTTATTGTGCAATACTAATAGTCCCAATAGTGATCTTTGTTTGTTAAGCAATGTTGAATAAATGAACTTAATATAATTTTGTTAATTTTTTGTTTGGCTGTTTAGTCCTACAACGAACTTATCAACCGTGGTTCTATCTAATTGTGGCGTTAATTATCCAATATCCACTAACTTATCTTATTTCTTCTGTGGCATTCATCTGACTTATAAATAAAGTGGCTCATTCTAGTTTTGGGGTCAACTTTTTCAACTATCATATTCCGTCATTGTTAGATGAACACAACTGAAAGAATTTGATAATATTGTTGAAATAGTCAACGTCAAAACTGGAAAGAATCATCATGTTATAATTGAATAGAATCACCAAGTTGATAATTCAGATGAACGCAATTAAATGAATCGGACTCACGGTTCTAAAAGAATTAAAGGAGAATTATTGGTTTTAGAAAAAGAAAAAATGGTTTCTGTTTTCCACTTTTTGCTTCACTGCGATTTTATATATGCATTTGCACCATCACTAATATAGGAAATTAATCTAATTTTAAAGAATCTTAACTAAATTTTATATAAGAAATATTAGTAGTGATACAAGGTAAGATCTATGTGCCAATTTTATGGAAAAGTAAAAAACTTCAATGTTACTTCATTGTCTCAAGTAAAAAGAAGTAATGAATGATGGAAAGAAAGTTAAGTTGCCTTGTTTCAAATACAAAGAAAGTGACGGGTAAGAGAATATTATTTGAATGAAACTAAAAGTGAGAATTCAACATGTTGACATGACAAAAGTAATGCTAACTAAAGGATTTGCATGATAATGTAATAAAAATAATATTATTAGACTTTCTTTCAAATACAAAATAAGGATGGAAAACTATGTTATTTAAACAAAGAATTAAATTTTCAAAATTCATCACTCGTGTATACATTCACAAGTACGGTTGGTCAATATAACTAGTTTTATGAGCCCAATCCAATATTCATTTAAACTGCATTAAAAATTTAGATGACTAAAATTAATTTAGAAATAGTTTCATTACATTCCAAACTAAATATATGCCTATATTCTCTTTTCCAACTGAATCATGTTAAGTTACATTTTTTTTTTCACTTTTCTTCTTTGAATCTGATTTAAAGTTTAACTTTTCTCTTTTAACTTACAGACCCTACGATTTCTTCATGTTAATTTGTTATATATTATGTTATAATATTAAGAATCTCATGTTAGGATTACAAAGTTGCTAAATTGTGATGTTATAACATGTAGAAATCTTAAGATAGATTGAATTTTGTTGGAATACAACTTAAATATGATGATAGGTCTCGACATTGTCATTTTATATTTCTTTGATACTTGATAGAACTAACATACTTCTTATTTTATTATAATGTATACATGTGTTTCTTCGCAAAAAAATGAGGTTTCTTCGTATATATTTTTTTAGTCCTCATGATGTATTTTATATGTGTATAGACAGTAAAGATTTTATATGTGTAAAACTAATTAAAACAAAATTTCTCAAACACTGAAAGTAAAGTGAAACACTAAAAACCCGAGTGGAAGGGAATTGAGTCATGTCTAATTGAAACACCACTTTTTTTAAATATTTCAAGTATTTTTTTTAAATTGGTTGACCGAACAGAAGGAAAACATGAAATTTCACCCTTGGCAGTTCTTATTTTAATGATTTGTTTGAGCATACAGATTAAAATTGGTTAAATTATCTTACAAGGGATTTACGATCTAACTTTTTTAAAAGTCTAATCCGACTTAATCTATTTAAATAATAGATTTAATTTAAATCATTTTATATACTTAATTAATTAATTAAGTTAAGCTTGAGCTTAAAAAAAACTTATAAGATCTTTTAAAATAACCTATTTAAAATACATAAAATTTATAATAATATATTAAATAAATTTTTTATAAAAATAATAATATAATATTATATTAAATAAAATAAATTTTAAAATGAATAGAATTTCAAATTAGAAACTTTAATCTTTTTCAATGGAGTTAAAGAGTATCTATTACATACCTTATAAGAGAAAGTCCTGCTTTGTTGGAGTCTTTTGTATTACTATTGCTTGATCTATATTTACATATATTGTTAATTTATTGTTTCGATTACATCTCTCATTGGTTCATCTAATCCATTATTTTTTTACATACTTGTTTATATTATATGCAACTCTTTTTTAATTATTTTTTCTTTTTCTTTTTTAATTTTCAGATTAACAAAATATCTTCTTCAATTAAAAATAATAAAATAATTTATTCATTTAAATGTCTCAATACAAAATAAACCATTAAAAAGGTTAATAGGTCAAAGCAGACTTTTACAAAAGTAAACTTAAGTTTAATAAAAAACATATGAAAAATAATAAACCAGATTAAAGCTTCAAAATTTTTAAGTAGGCTAGACCTATTTAATCAAAGCCTAACTGTTAAGTCTATAATTAGACCCTCTTTTATAACCCATTTATTCATATTTGACATTTATTTGAATTGAGTTTTACATTAATTTAGTTGTTAATTACGCAGTTTGATATAAAAAGGCCGCAAGTATATTTTGGGCGCATTTTGGGTCCAAATTAATAGAAGATTACAGCTTTGCAGCAGTCAGCACGCCCAGACCCATTCAATAAAGCACGGGAGTACTTCGAGCTCATGCACGGTCGTGCTCATCTGTGAGAAGCCCAATTATGAAGAGTTTTTAGGATTTTCAAATCCTATTAAAGGGAAGACCTGAAGCACCATTGAGGACCGTTTTTTTGACATCTTGGCTTTGCTTTGGAATACATCTGTCATCTCGTCTCTCTTGCACGGGATTCTTGGCACATGCTTGGGGAGACTTGGAGCTTCGAGCGATCGTACTTGAAGACCGGAAACACATCTCACACTCTAGTTTTCTATTTCTTTTCTTTATGGCTTTGTTCATGATTGTTTTAGTTATTTTCTTTAGCATGAGTAACTAAGTCCATAGCTAGGGCTATGAGAACTATTATTTATGAATTTATGGAATTTTGATGTTTGAATCTGAATTTGATTTCCGCTATGTGATTAGCTTTTATCCTATTGCGCTTCTTTCTTAATCCTAATTAATTATATCGTCAGGCGATCGTACCTCGGTTAATTAATAGATCTATAGGGTAAAATGAGACAAAGGATTAGGTGGACCAAACCAATCTTTCTCTTCTAATCCTTATTAAATTAACAAGTTCATAGGTTCCTTAAGCTTTCTTAAATTGATGTCTTGCATGACCATTGGGGATGTTAATTTAGAGAAAAGAATATTAATATTGCATGACCATTGGGTATTAATAGTATTTGTATGAATGATTGGTAATCATAAGGAAATCGAATTTAGAGTTAAATAGAAAAATAACATAAAGGATTGAATGAGAAAACTCATATGCCCTAGGTTCCTCTCTGATAAGTTTAACCAAGACGTGCATTGTATTTCTTGCTCTTAGTTTTATAATTGATTTTATAAATTCTTGTTTTTAATTAATCTCGTATCTTTGAAGCTTAAACAATTGAATTAGGAAATTCTTAATAATTGAAAAACAATCCTTGTGGGACGATATTTCGGGAACTTAATTTAAGAACCCTTTATTACTTCTCGATGGGTACACTTGCCTTCCGAACAAGTTTTTGGTGCCGTTGCTGGATATTGCTTTTTCAATATTAAGAAAATCTCAAATTTAATTGATTTAAGCAATTTGTGTTTTATTTTATTTTATTTTGTTTATTATTAATTTTTTTTATAATTTTCGTATTTATTTTATTTAATTTTTTTTAATTTCACAATTTCTTTTAATGTATGCTCACTCGTTCTAAGTGCTCTACAGCTTATTTATTTGATCCAGAGATTGAAAGAACAACACGTAGACAAAGAAAAGAAGTGAGAGAGCAAAGAATGGCAGAGGGAATGAGATCAATTTAAGATTACATGACACCTACTGGTAGAGACACTCTTGGAAGCATTATGGCACCAAATGTGGAGGCAAACAATTTTGAATTGAAACCAGCACTCATAACCATGGTCTAGAACTCGATACAGTTTGGAGGCATGACTAATGAAGACCCCAATCTTCATCTGACAAAGTTTCTCCGATTGAAGGATACCATCAAGTACAATGGAGTCTCCAACGATGCTATTCGATTTCGTCTTTTCCCATTCTCGGTATCTGAAAAGGTGAATGCTTGGTTCACCTCACTCCTAGCCAATTCCATCACAACTTGGGAGGATCTCACTCAACAATTCTTGGGAAAGTACTTTCCCCCATCAAGGTCCTCTAAGCTTATGACGGACATATGTTGCTTCAACCAACATGAAACAGAATCCTTATTCGAGGCATGAGAGCGATTTGGAGAGCTTTTGAGGAGATGTCCTCATCATGATTTTTCAACGTGGAGACATGTGCAAATCTTTTACAGTGGCCTATCAATCACCACTAGGGCTACAATTGATGCCGCAGCAGGAGGGTCCCTCATAAGAAAAGATCCAGATGATGCATACAAGCTCATAGATGAGATGACATCTTCTAGCTTTCAGTGGCACGCTGCTGACTCTTACGACATCAAGAGGAAAGAGACTGCCTCAGTCCACTAAGTAGAGAGCAATAATCCACTAATTAATCAAATGGCAGCCCTTGCAAAGCAACTAGAATCTTTAATGAAGGTCAAAGACCAGTCTGTAAGAGCTCTTGCAAGCCCAGAATTTAAGCAAGAGGAGGCAAACTTCATGGGCAATCACAGTTCAGGGTGGAGGAGTAATCCTCCTAACTCATGGGGGAATGGCTTTGGAAGTCAAAATTCAAGTGTTTATCGCCCTCATCATATGCAAAATCAAGGAAAAAGACCAGAAGGGAAAAAAGCTCACAGATCTCAGTCCAACTTTCAAGATCAGATGATGCAATATGTGCATTACTCTGATAAGAGGATGACAGAGCTTGAATCCAAGTTGGACCAACATATTGAGAGAACTGATAAGAGGTTCGCAGAAGTTAAATTTGAAATACAAGCTAGCTCTTCTAAGATGAGTGCACAATTTGAGCAGATTACGAACCTTCTGAGT